TCCAAGAGCAGTTTTCAATGTTTGAGCCGACGAAATCAGAAAAGTGTAGGCTTTCAACCTCAGTATCCCCCAAAACACATCATGGCTATAGCAGCTTTGTGAGCAGTATCCCAGAAAACAGCACAGAAACACCAAAGATGAAAACACGGAAATCCTGCAAGAAATTCCTTGTCACATGCAGCTCCCACTGAGAACTGAAGAGACCCAGTGTTTATTAGCACTGCCAGAGGAAAAGAGCTGTGTAACCAGTGCTTTCCAAAGCACCACCTCACAAAGAAAAAAAATTAAACAATCCAGCACCTCTCTCCTTGTTTCTTCGTACTGCTAATCCTAGGGAAAGAGGAACTCTTAGCAAACCCTTACCAAACCCTCCCATCAAACACGTGCTTCCAGAAGCCTGCAGGATAACAATTGTCCTCCGAGGGCCGGGAAGGGCGCGGATTTTCCTGTGCAGCAACGATGCCACCTACAGCCTGAGCGAGGCCACAACAGCGCACCGAGCTGCAGAGGGCAAAGAGATTTTCTCAGATGTTTTTGCCGCAAATCTGCTCTTCAAAATTCAAGGCTGACCGAGGAGGCAGCTTTAATAGGATGTTTAGTAGGATATATTTTATGCTTTACCCACGAAGGTGCTATATATCTTCTATTTGCTCTCAGACTGCATGGCCTTTAAGACTCTTCAGCTCTGAAGCCACTAAATAGCTAAACTGGGTGCTTAACAGATGTATCTACGGAAAACATATGGTAGAGGCAAGAAGCAGAAGAACGTTCCATTTCTGTTGTCACACACACAAAAGACACTAGACAGTGTGTGTCTTACAGACTCCCAGAAGAAAGTCACTGGACCTTTTTATAAGCTGTCATCTCTACAATGAGGACAGGCATCTGCACTTGTTATTTGTAGCAAGAAAAATCAGCTCTCCCAGTGCAGCTTTCTTTCTCTTCTCTTCTCTTTCCTCTTCTCTCTTCTTTTCTCTTCTTTCTTACCAAAAGCAAGCCAAATGTAGCCAGTGGAGTGGGCAAGGTCTTTCCAAGTGTGCCTGAAATAAGGGCTGGAAATGCAGTTCACAGATCTGATAGCCAGCCCTGATGGAATACTAATTCTGAACCAGAGGACTGCTTCACTTCAGCATTAAAATTCATTGCCTGGTTATTGTGATCTGTATAAAAGAGATAAGGGCACAGGGAACTCAAGGAGTTGCTTGAGGAAAAGCAATAGGATTAAAAATAATGACAAAGTGAAAAAAATAAAACAAACTGATGAGATGAGAAAAGAAAAGGAGCGAGGCAAAAGGCAGAAGTCAAAGCTTGACTTCTCACTGAACAAAGTTTGTTTTTAGGAAAGAGTGATCTTAAACAAAGCCAACTGCAGAGGTCAGGGATGCTATGAAAGCAGGAGGTTCCCAGGGATGGCAGTGGAATACTGACAAGCAGAGCACAGAAAGTAGCCCTCATACAAATGGAGAACTATAAGCCAGCCTCTTCCCTGAGTGCATCCCACAGGCCAGTCAGCAGCTTTTCCACTCTTTACAGCAGAGCCTGGGCATGAGGGAAAGACACCTAAAAAAGGTGAGTAAGAAAAAAGCTTTAAAAAAAATAAAATACGTTGACCACCTTCTTTTACAAACAGAAATCTTATTTAGGAAATTTTTTTTTTTTCAAGAATAATTGAACTCTTTTTCCCCTCCAGTGGGATGGATGTGTAGGTCAATGCACTTCTGCTTTATTTAGTCAGTCAACAATTCATTCTTCAGCAGTGGAAAGTACAGGTCAATCCTGAGTAATTTTGCTCGAGCAAACTTTTGAAGCAGAAAATGAAATTAAAAGATTACTGGAAAATTATGTCTCATGCTGCAACAGTTATATGTACAGACATTGGAATATTTATCAAGGTGGCATAAATTACAAGGAGCAAGGATGCCTATTTCAGATGGGAAAATAAAATAGATTTACAAATCAGCTACAAGTGCATGGAAAAAGCCTGAAATCCTTCTACGTATTTCCAAGATATAAAAAGAGAATTACAGAGACCTTGCCTTAAATTTTAAATCATTTAATTAAGGCTTTTCTCAGGAGCAGGGGGGAAAAATGGTGTAAATAAGAGATTGATTTTGATTAAAGCTGTAAGTTTAAGATGTAGGAAAAATCACTTCAAGTCTGTAAACCAGATTTTCCAGTTTATAAGGAGGAATGAAAGTACAAGTTTTCAGTCATACATTGTGAATTCTGCACAAGGAGAAAGTTAAGCATCTGAAGGCACTTTTATTTTGGCAAACAGAGCAAAGATACAGATGCCAGGAAGGATAAATTTTTATTCCATAAGGAATACAAACTGTTAAAACCTCAGCTGAAAAGCTGCACACAATTTGATCATGTGTGTTTGGAAAAGATTAGAGGAGAAAAGGACCATGTCCAAGGGAACAGTAAACTCACCTAAGGAGAGAGAGCCCAGAGGAACCTTGGTGTGATTAATTTAGAAAAAATGAGTGTTGCCATTGAAACAAGCAAATAAAAACTAGGGAGGCTCTAAAGAGATTTCAAGCAGAAGCTTAGAAAAAGAGATTTTTTTTCCTCCAAGAAAGTCTTTCAAGTACAATATTATGTCATTCTAGGACAGAGTCCCTTTCACAAACTCACCATATGCCACAATATGTTTGGGGCAAGGGATTTACAATTATTTCTCCAAAGAATAAGAAATAAGCAGAAGTTTCTGCTTTGAGGAAAAAAATGGAAAATGTAAGGGAATCAGAGCTTTTCATAGAAGGCTTGGTATTACTCCACAGGAGGTTGATCAGCAAAATTCAACATTTTTCAGGCAGCAGACATTTCTCAAGACTTGGTTTGAGTTTTAAGCACCCTACAGGGCACAGATGCATTTCCAGAAGTTTGTTTGTAACTCCACTAAATTTCTAGATGCCTTTTACATGTTACAGGTAAATACCCTTAAACCTTCTCAAAACCAACCATGGCTTGTAGGGCAGCCCTTCTACAGCAAAACAGATGGGATCTCAACTTGACTCACAGGACTGTTAGTCTGTATTTACAGGAGTAACAGGAGCCAGGTTTTACTGCTTTTCTCTGACCATGTTTTGTTTACTGATGTGGCTGAAGAGTGGGAGGGGGGTTAAACTCTCATAATAAAACAGTCTGTGACCCTTATTCCTCCAGATGTACCTATCAGAGGGTTACAGATCAGCTGCTGAATCCAAGGAAAGCACCTACTTTGTTGTTCAGCCCAATCTGAGGAAACACATAAGCTTCACCTACAGTTGCATCAGGTCAAGGAAGGCCTTAAACACCAGTTTACCCCAATGTGATTTTTTTTTTCCAATGCAAACATCATAAATATTTAAGGATCATTTTTTAAAACAGACATATTCATACCTCTGTAAAATGAAATCTGGATGAGGCAGTTCTGATCACGGCAGCTGCTTACAGATAAGTCAGTAAGACAAAAATTGCCACTTTCGCCCAGACAGTGCAAAATCCAGAAATCCCAGAGCAGGAAACAATGTAGGCAGCAGTAACCAAAAGCTGGTAAAGGTAGTACCACATGCTGATAGCAGCACTGAAAATAGTAATTGAAATCAGAATTTATTAGAGGATCAGAGAAATTCTGCCTAACATTTGACCAGGACTTCACATCTTGAGAGTTTTGAGGAACTAGAGCCACTTGCAATGAACTAAATATTAATAACATGGATTCTTTTTCATCTCAAATCACCAGATCTTGTAAAATAACTTCATAATGTACCAAATTCACTGGAGCTTCGACAGAAGTGGCTAATGATAGCTTGAGTTTCCAGCAATACCCCTGGAAGCCAGTTTTGAGGTGTCAAAGCAGGATTTTGAGTATAGACAGAAATAAACAGGTTATGTGAATGCCTCTGAAGGAGTTTATGCAATCCAAAGTCCTGGGTTTCTGCATTAAATCCACATTTACCTGTCTCCTTCTCAGCTCGGCGAAGCTCCTCCTCCATCCCACTGCTCCCACTTGGAGAGGCACCAAAAGGGTAGCTTTTGCTCTTCCCAGCCTTTTGCCCTGTGCATGGAGATGCTGTTCTGTTCCCCAGACTGCTCTCTACACAGTTTCTAAGCTTTCCCAACTTCTGTAACACTCTGATCATCCCATATACCTATATAAAAACATGATTATCTTCCTATCCCATCTCTTTATGTCAACAGCTCTACTAAATCCTTTCATCTACTTACTCCTTTTCTTTTTCTCCTGGGCAACAATAATCTGGGCCTCATCTTCAACGCTCTTTGTGTAATTTCTCTCATCTCTCAGGCATCCCTTCCCCAGTGCTGGATCCCTTGATTTAACAGTTTCTGCCACACTCAGACACTCTGCAGGCAGCACATACAACCACTATACTTACATTCCCTTCTACTCACTGTGTTCCTTGTTAATACTCTCTGCTATTAGTTGAGTAAGCTCACACATCTGACACTTGTTCCTGGTCCATTCAAATTTCCAGTCTCTGCTCAGTTGAATGTGTCCTTTTATTGTCCTGTCTCCATCAGCGTGCCAGTTCCTGGCATCATCTCATTGTAACTTTGAGGCTTAGCCCCTTACAGCTGAGAACAAAAGAAGTTTCTCTTTAAATCAAAGAAATTACAAGTAATTCATAACTAAGACAATTTTTCCTCCCAGATCACAAGAGTTTCAATAAATATTCTCATTTTAGGGGAACGAGCGCGGTTATTTTTTCTGTTCTCCAGTAAAATCATCAGCCAGAAATTTTTGTGACCACATGCTCCATGTAATTCTGTTGCTGTAAGATGGGAACAGGCACGGGTAGGCTGGGGGACAGCAGTGCCAGCTTTCCCTGGTTTGGAGCTCCAAGTTACAGCCACACACATGGAACCAGGAAGAGACAGGCTGCCAGTCTGGACTAACAACTGACCCAGTTCAATAGACCAACTGGGTTTGTTAGTTAATCAAAGCTGAGGCCCTGACAGATTTAAAAAACAAAAAAACATGGGCAAAATCTTGGTTGTGCTTCAATCAACAATAGTTCTTTTATTCCCTGTGGCTCTGAATTCTCAAAAGATTACGTGGCTCCAAGGAAACCACTGTGTTAGTATTAAGAACAGCACGAGAACTGTCTTCTCTATTTTGGTTTATATTTGATCTAATCATAGCCACATATATCTGTGCTGAAACATTCATCACGCCTCTTCTACCAAGAGACTGGAAGGTTTTTTCCCCCTTTCTCACCTTATTCTGCAAAGCCCTTTAAATCACAGCTCTAAGGGTCACAGTAACAGCTGGCACCTGTAACAGCACTGGAATTTAATCCCTAAAGAGGCACATATAAGCTTACATGAATCTTTAAACAAAGAGAAACTCAAAGAGTGAAGTTTACAGCAGGTGCTCCCTAGTGCAAAACAGCACCAACAAACCCAAAAAGGAATTTTAATGAAAAAAAAAATACAATACTAGAACAGTTATTCATTGACAAAATATTTCATGAGACAAAAGAAGAAACAGGTAAGACAAAACAAAAATATAAAATACCTGAAAGTTTTTGTAAAATACTTGTTAAAACTTGTCACTGAAATTAGCAGTGCAAATAAACAAAAAGCTTAAAATAAATTGATTTTCCATCACAGATTCTGTCCAAGCACATAGTTCTCACCACCAATCAGTTAAATTTTACAACTGCTGAGGAAAACTATGATAAACCACTGTTAAGCCCTATTCTCCAGGGCAGAAAGCCCCAAAAGAATCTTAAATTACTGTAAGGGAGCACCAAGGTCTCATAGGTGAGGCAAGGGATGACAGAGAGCACTGACATTTCACAGGCTGTTAAAGGATCCAACCTAACCTCAGCAGGAGTGGCAAATTCTGTATTTCAAAACTTCATTTATGGGATTAGATCGAGTGTATGATTCTAGACCACACTTTTCCCCCAGCCCCACACCTTTTACAATTATTCAGTTTGGCCCACAGAGGAAAAATTACTAGAATTTATGTGGATTTCAACCCTGTAATTTACTGTGAAGTCTAAAAATAACAGAACACTGGCCCTGTTCTTTGACAGCAATTAATTCCCTTTGAAGATGACGGAGAGACAGAAAGATTTGTGCATGTCTTCAGAGAAGTGTCTGGTCAAAAGAATGGGATATTCAATTCAAAGTCTGTGAAGTCCCAACAGGATCTGGATCTGACCCTTTTATCCTCCAAAAAATGGCAACACCACACTTTCAAGCCAACAGCCACATATCCAAGCAAGACTGTGAGTTAAACTCAGTGTTTACAGACCACACCTCCAGCACCTGCGCACTCTTGTGCAGCCCTTTTTCCACCACTCCATTTTTCAGCAGAACAGGGAAGTTTTCAGGGCAGTACCCAAGAATTAACCTGTAGAAACAGCACATTAATTTTGCATGCATCGTTAATTACTAATATGCTTCCTATTAATAAAATATGAACATGCATGCAGTGGTTAAATCTCAGTCTCTTCAGAGTCAAATTCTGACTGTTGGCTCTTTCATATCCCCTTTTTCATTTTTCTGAAACAGAATTGGATCTCAGTCTGCATCTTCCCTGAACTCCCATCTGAAGCTCCCCTGTCCTCACAGTTGCAGAGAGCAGATCTTACAATGTCAGACTCACATCAGATTTCCAGATTGTCCAAATAAAGTGCACACTCTTTCCATAGTTCCTGCCTTCTGGCATTCAGCTGTGTATGGTGCAGACACAGAATAAACAGAGCAAGCAATAGCAGTTTAGGGCAAACAAGTCCCAAACTAGCTTAGGAAAAACAATTTTTATCCCCCACAGGAAATCATACAGCAATATTGTCTTCTGAAGTTTTACTCCTCATCCTTATAAAATAAATATTACATTTTTCTCAACCAGCATTATGATAGTCCACAAAATATTTTCTGCCTTACTTCAGCATGCAAAGTAGAAAAGTGTTTTAAATGGCTTATTGAAAGTTCCCTAAGTTCTGCTCTCAACCCCCCTGTCACGCTACTGTCCATTTCCCAGTGCAGAGTGCACAGTGAGCTCAGAGCTGAACAAGACAAGGTGCCTTCTCAAATTCCTTTTGGAAGCTGGCTGCTCACAGAACTTCACTTCGATGTTGCCATCGCTGAACGCCTCCCTCCTGCCTTCGTCCGAGTCCGTGGCCTCTCTCTGGGAAACACTTGGCTTTTGCCTCCTCATAGTGATCCCCGAGTTCCCAAGCTGCCTGGCTGGGGAGGCCTTTTCTTTCACAATGCAGAAGCAGATGGCAGACAGAAAGTTCTTCTTGAAGTTCTCGTTCATGAAAGCATAAACGATGGGGTTGCAAATGGAGTTGAAGAACCCTATGATCTGGACAATGGCAAAGATCATTTTGACTGTCACATCATCATACTCCTTTTCAAAGTTACCTGGAAAGGAGGACAGAAATATGCTGTAAGCACGTAATGGCATAAATGCTTACTACTTAGCCCATTTATATCCTGTCTGGCATTAGAAGCTTTTGTTTAAAATCAACAAAAGACCTTGCTGGAAGCTCTCGATATTAGCAAAAGGGTTTCATCAAGGAGGAAAAATCAAGATCTATCACACAGTCCTGCTTTGTAGGTGTAATAACAGAATCAATTGAAAGAGGCAATTTATGAGCCAGAAAACCTGCCCCATGGCCATGCAACATTAAGCCTCCAATTTGCTAAGTGCAGGCTTTGTTCATTCCAGCTACTCTTTTTGCTCCAAGATTCATGTCCTATTAAATGTGTAAGTACTAGAACACCACTCCCTGTCTTGTCACTGACCACACACAGCTTCCTTCTCTGTGCTGACACAGATCAGCTCAAAGAGGTAAAAATGCATCATCTTGGTCACATCTCTCACTTCTTAATCATTGAGATCACAGAGGACTCAGAATTTCTTGAATTCAAATACTCAGGGACCAGACTCTGGATAAATACTACAGAGGTTTATATGGCAAGTAAAACAAAGGCCTTGCAGCACCTGAAATAAATTCCTGAAATTAGCAACAAAAAGAGAGTAAACAGCGTTTATGGAGTGTTATGAACAACCTTAACAGGGGACAATCCAATTTTAATAACCAGAGCTTGTGCAGGTCTGATTCTGCTCAGCCAAACATCATTTAGTTCAGCTGACTGGCTGAACTACTGATTTATCTGCTACCATCTTATTTGTGATAGAAGACACAGAAACAGCTGCTGCCTTTGGCGAGTAGACTACAATAACTACTGAAAACTTCCTGTTGCTCCTTACACATAGCCTGCTGCACAGTCCCACATGTTAGCCCAGCATCCATGGAGCACATGGGAGGTGAAGGGAGAGCAGGGCAAATAGCAGAAAGCAAGCATAACAAGCATTGAGGGCATTTCCAAGACAATTTTCACTCAAGACCACCGAAAAAGTTCAACTGCATTCGTTGAGTATTATCACTACGATGTCCAGAATTTATATTTCCTATGCCTACCCCATTAAAACCAGGGCAAGTGAAGGCACAAATATTTCATCAGTTTAACTCAAAAGAGTTAAATTAAATTTAAATTAAAGCAGTACTTCAAGAAGGTTTATGCTCAGAAATAACTTTTACCTTCCAGCCAGGTACTTTTGACCTTTCAGCAAATGAGGGTAGCACAAAAGACATAAAAAACAAAAACAATATGCAGAGATATGCTCACCACCCCAATGGTCTTGGGGTTTTTTTAAGTCTTGTAAGGCCTAGCAAACCTCCTTTTCAGGACTGGATTATTTGCTGCACAAATTCAATGACAACCTCCTTTCTAAAGAGCTTACCTTCTAAAAGAGCAGGTGGAGAGCTTGGGTTCCCTCCCACCCACCCACCCTGAAAAAAAAGCTCAATGCAAGACAAAGATTGTATTTGTGGTTTGTTTTCTTTTGTTTGTTTTTGTTTAATTCACAGAGCAGGGAAGAAGAAGCATGACTGAAGCAAGTATACCTCATATAAAAGGGATCTCCCAAAAATATATAAGGTCCTTCCCAACCTAAATGATTTTATGATTCAGTAACAATAGGGTTTTTTTGAAATACACTCATTTTCCATGAGCACTGCAGGTATGTCTATCACCCACAGGCTTCAGAGTAATTCCTCTGTCACTGGCTATGTATCTCTCTTCCAAGAGAGTGATCCAGGATTTATAACCACATCAGCCTTTGCCAGCAGAAGGTATTCTGTAGCTGAATACTACAGCAGCACTAGCTTGTCACAACCTGTATTTCCATCATAAAAAAAAAACTAAGAAAGCCTTTCTTGTATGACACATGGCAGGTACTCACTGTATTCTATCATCATGTGAATCACGTGGAAAGGGGCCCAACAGACTGCAAAGAGAAACACCACTGTCACCATCATAACAATTGCCCGTTTCTTCTTCCTGAAATTGCACCAAGACATTCCACACTGAGTCACCAGGCACTGACTGCCAGTTCAGATGCCTCTCCTCAACTTACAGCTGTAACTGGGCTCTGATGGCTGCAGACGCAAACAAAACCCTCGAGGAATGCTCAAAATTCCCTTGGAAACAAAAAATGCAACATCATATAAATCTGGTACATCAATGAGCACCTTTTCTTTCTCCCTTTGGGGAAAGCAGTGCACTTTGCAGCTGCAGCAAGACATGACACGAGTATATCTTGCAAGGCAGTTTAAACTCTATTCAAGCAGATGCAAATAATTCCAAGAGTAAGAGATGGGGGGAAACACACTAAATTCCATTAATTGCACAAGAAACAAGAGTCCCTTCCTAGATCTGGGAGCACTGCAGGAGCTGATCACTCAGAGAATTTGAGAGAGAGTGAGTGCAACTGCATTCAGCCTTTGCTGGTAGGTGAAGTTCTAGGGAAAAAAAGCAAGAAACACACTCCCTGCCTCAACTGTAATATTTCACAAACTCAGGGAATACATAACTTCATTCTCATATAGAAGCCATACAACTGCATTTAGAGATTCCAAGATGGTTCTCTCACTTGAGCCAGAGGAGAAGCACTTCACTGGTAGCAGTTACAGGTTCTTGGGCCACTGTGTGAAACTAAACTGAGGAGTGGCCTGAAGAACCTGTCACCTTAACTCCTGTGAGATTGCACCCTCCTCCAGTTCTCATGTGCAGGTGTCTGCCTCCTTACGCACTTGGTTAAACAAATATTGCCTTGAATTGGGTATCTAAGTGTTAAATGGCTGGTTTTGAAAAACTGGTCTGTACTTGTAGACTTCCCAACAGATAAGAAAATACAGTTTTTGGGTTTTCTGCAGTGGTTTTAAAGAACTTCCAGGAAGGAAAAAGTCTTTCTAGAAGTCAAAGTTCCACGTGTATTTTGCTTACCAACCTTGATATTTTGGACATTTCACTCCCGTGAATAGTTTGAAGAACTGAAGCATCTCCCACTCGTTTCTTAATCCAGAGTTCATAGCCAATTTTTGTGTACAAAAAAAGCATCAACATCAGTGGAAGAAGGAAGAGTATAACGAGAATAAAGGTCGTGTATATCTTCTGATAGATTGGACTGGCCCATTCTTCCAAGCAACAAACATACACTTTTTCATACAGAAAGTCATATTTAACCTGTAACAAGGGCAAAGAAGATGAGTCACTGAAGTGTTTACCCCAAGTGTAAAAGCCAAGCACCTTCAAATATTCCTCACTCTTAACAGAACAACCACAATTCAAGAGACTTTTCAAAGAGGCAAAAATTCTTCCAAATGCTTTTCCACATCAAGTGTTGGGTCGATCCAAGTTGGCAGAAAAAAAGGTCAGGACATGCTCTGATTTGCACTGCAAAGGAAACCTTGCCTATGCATTTTACAGGTAAAGATGGTATAGAAACCTCAAATATTAGTAACTTAAAAGAAAGAAAATCGTTAATGTTCAGACTCACAAGCAGCAGAATCTGCTGAGCCTTTTTTTTAATCTCCAAAAATGTACGGTAACTCATCAGCTATAATGAGTGGCAAACTAACTTTAAACTAAGTACGGTTTTTCCAGAGCTTGGGGAACATTTTGCAATTCTGAAACAGTAATCTAGAGTCCTACATTGCTGTGTGCCAGTGCACCTGTAAACCAAGAGGAAGCCACAGTGAAAGTCATAGACGTAATTAGAGCTCTTTGGCATAATTAGGGAGGGTAGACATGACCAGTCCCTATTCGTATTCCTTCTTCCAGTGCACACGAGTTCTAATCCTCAGCGTTTCTCATGCTAGCACACAAAACAGAAGCTCCATCTCTCTTATTCCCCTCTAATTTCATCGGAGTTGACTCAATTTCATTGCTAAAGGTCCAAAAAGATGCAGTGTAAGACGTAAATTCCCCTCCCAAACTGCCATACCTCGAGCCGTTGCACGTGCCACATGGGTGACCCGACAATAAGAGCCAGCAACCAGACTATGCCTGTAAACAAACACAGCTTTTAATGCTTCGTACAACAAGCAGGGTAAGTTTTGGTATGAACAGTTCTACAGCTTCATCTTTGAAAAGTCAGGCAAGGCAGACAATTTTAATAAAGAAAATCCGTCAACATCCAGAACAACATCTCTTTTGTTCTCGTGTTTCTTTTTCTCAAACCACCTTCAACTCTTGGTATTCAAGTGGAAAAGCCACTTAATTTGCTTGAGCAACGTTGTGTAAGTTCTCTGTGTAACACTGGAAGGACCATTTAGCTGTGACATTGCTTCAGCAGGGCTTGTACATTTTGAAACTTTCCTTAAAAAAAAAAAAAAGAAAAAGAAAAGGCTGCTAAAGGTTTATCAGAGGCTCTGTTAAGGACATTTTTGGCTACAGAGGCTAAGCCTGTCGTGAGGGCTTTGGCTTGTTATTACTATACATATAAGCACTATTCTTGAGCTATTTTATAAACATCACAACTTATTAACTGGTCCTGTCAGTGCCTTCTGCCATGCCCTCCACGCTGAAGAATATTTCTTTACATACATGAATACTGGAGATGCTTAAAATCTTACCAAGCATTGTGAAAGCTCTTTTATTGGTGTACTGCCACTTCATTTTTAGTGGATGCACAATTCCCTGGTGTCTTTCCACAGCAATGCAGGTCATTGTAAGAATCTCAGTGACAATGGCAGTGGACTGAACAAACGGTACCATCTTGCAAGCGAAGGCCCCTGCAATGAGCAGAAAGTCAGGTATGCAACTGCTGCACTTCATGAAACAGCTGTTGATACTAAACTCCATGGCTAGAAAGGGCAGACTAAGATTCTCAGATTTATTTTAACATCTAAACTGCTAACTCACCTATTTAAGCTATTCATCAAATGCAGCTTTCAGCAGTCATTCTTTGTTGCACACACTACACCTGCTAAAACCAAGAGTTCTAAGGACATATTCACTGGCTCTATAGCAGTTGGACATTTATTTCTGTTTAACTTTTGACCACATCTTCCATCATCTGTTTTCAAACATGCCAAGTTACAGGGATATTCATTAATTTTTTTTTATCTTGGCAGATAACTCTCCAGTTCTACGAAGGTTTAAAAGTTTACCTTTTCTGCTGTTGCAAATACATTCCTTATGCTCTTTTAAATAGCACTCTATTTGCACACTTTGGCACTTAATGCATCATCCTGCCAAGTGAGATATAGAGGAATCCTCTAAGAGGCATAACACAAGAGGAAAAATTCAACCTCCTCATCATCTTTCTGTTCTCCCTCTTCCCTGATTAACACATTATGTTAATGACACTATCCAAATCAAATGCAGCTTCCTGCCTGCATTTTCAAAGTTGCACAGGTTCCCATTGTATTTCTGTATCTTCAGGTTTTATTGCTGTTACAGCTTCCCAAAAGTACATGTTCAATTCTCAACATATTAGTGATCCTCCATCACTCACCCTCAAGTCCCTACCTTCTCAGAAACTGGTATAAATTATTCTCTCAAGAATCTTACGTTAACGCCCTTCCCAATCTACTTCTCATTTACTCATTTTTTGACCTCGAGAGAATTTTTATGTCCACATTCTCACAGTTCCCTCACACTCTTACACTTCAGTATCAGCTACTTATTTCACCAACAGTTATTTTCCTTACCTGATCATCAGCTATACCTTACTCACATATAATCCATAAACTCAAAATAGCCAAAGGAATACCTGATCCAATTTTAAGTCAAGCTTTAGGATGCTACAGACACCTTAAGAAGATGTTAATGAAATGTTTAAGTTCCTATTTCACTAAAGAAAGGAGCTCAAGTTTGAGTGCTGGAGCAGTGGCAAAATCAAAAATAAACAAAAAAACCCAACAAAACAACCCCCCCAAACTTTCACCATATGTTATTTCTTACAGTTTGAAAAAGGCAAGATTAAACAAAGTTATACTGCATTATAAGGATTTCCCTGTGATGCACTGCAGTCCCAGCATTCCCAGATATTCTTAGGAAGCAAAGAAGTATCACTCTATTACTCTACTTAAGTAACAATACAAGACAGTGACTTTCACTGAAGTCACATCAGTCTGGTGAAATTTCCAGTTTGTGCCCAACTATTCAAGGAACAAAGAGAATACCCGAGTTCAGAAGGCAGTAACTCCCCAAACTCCCAGATTTTCACCGCCTTTTACTGGTGTCCCCTCCTTTTCTTCCCAGTAACTCCACTGTCAAAGAGCACAGACTACCACTATGCCTTTAGCTGAACTCCCAGGAGGAAAGGCTGCAAAAAGCCCTATTTCATCTCTTCGAAGACAAGCACACAAAAAGTGATCATATATATATATACATATATACTTTTACATATATAAAAGTAACTGTTTAAAAAGTAGCAAAAGGAAAAGTCAACATATCACCTGCAGATTGACCTGACTGAGCTGGACAAGGAGGGACAGAAATGGGAAACAAAAGGATGTTTTTCATTAGACAGAGTTGGCTGAAATATAACATAACTCTTCTTAGCTTTCAAAACTTTCATTGTTTTATTTAAAAATATGTTTATTTATAAATATACACCAGCCACTCCAAACTGCTTAGATAGTTACTAAAGGCTTCCTCCAAGTCTTTTAATACTCTAAAGTATGTTTTCAAACTACAAACATTTTCAGCTTTTGTACACATGGAAAAGGAAATATATTGTTAAATAAGGTAACTATAACAATGATGTGTCAAAGGCACATATTAAAAACATGTCAAGCTATTTTTCACGTTTCACATATTTCTGTTTTTAACACAGAGTAATGGAAGATTTTAAAGGAATATACTGGCTAACATCTTTTTTCTAACCAAGCTGGTAAAAATGTAGCAGTTTAGAACATTGTTTGGAGATTACATGGTTGAACAGATAGTATTATTCAAGTTTTCTTTCCGTGCACTAACAGGACTGCTACATATTGTAGTTATTTGTATCAGGTACTGTGCCCTCATCATGATACACTCAGCTACAATAAATCAACTTTAGATTAAGAACACAGTGAAGTTCTGTATCTCCCAACCAATCTGAAAATAAAAATGGGTTTGCTTTCCTATCTTCATGATAAAGGCACTTGAATTACTTTACTAGTTAATTCTTTTTAAGCAACCCATTGTTCAAAACGTAATTTCAGATCCTACCTAAAGAGGACAATTTGTGATAGAACAACACACAAACATGAAGAACAAAAGTCTGCTTCAGTGAGTTTCAGTCAGGATTATTTTAAGTTTTCCCATTGCCTAGTTTTAGCACAAAAGGCATCTCAAAATACTTAATGCACTGGAACTGTGTTCATTTCTGCATTGGAGGCAGTATAGAGAAGTGTTGACTTTTCTGAATAATTTAAATAATAATAATACTTTAATTAATACCTTATATATGTATCAAAATGTTTAACTTGCTACCAGGTAAGCAAACACTTTCAATAGACTGTCAGTCAAGACAGCACTGCAGCATTTAATACTGATCATTTCAACTGGGAAAGAAAATGATTTGCAGCAGAATATTGGGAAAGGAAATAACTAATTGCTTTTCTTCTTCAAGAATCTGAGAGGTTCCCAAAAGCATTCTTCATGCACTGCTAAAACTTGCATAGATTATTCAGGCAATGATTAGTTTTCCCCAATGATAACACATTCAGAAGACTGAAAACACAAATGTTACTCCCTTAAACAATGCTTCATGCCTTCATTATAGCATGTTGTGCCTGTAACTGTGATTTATCCATTTCAACACCCATTTAAAAGATCAGGTTTTTCTTTTATTAGGGTAACAAGGGCAAAATCCTGAAACCATCCTCTGATAAAAGTAGTACAGACAACAAGTAGAACAAGTGTGGGTTTTTTGACAAAGATCTAGATCTCAAGACAGACTCACTAACAGGGAGCAAAGCAGGACATGGCAAACACATCCCTGATTCACTTGATGCAAGGCAGAGAATGCCACGTATTTCCACCAAGAAAAAGGACATGATCACCACCCCGTATGAAACACTAATCAATCTATCTGCATCCTAAAACTTGTTTTATTTCTTTGCCTGATTAATGCAACAGTAAATATTTCACATCAGTGTGTTTCATATTTATGCTAGTTACTGATTTGCACAACTTGCAGTAAGAAATTCCCTATGCTCAATATGCAAGTTTCCTTTTGTCAGCATTCTTCTGCTAAAACAAAACACCCTGCCAATATATTACACGTAGAAAAGCCTATTATTTCCTTTACTGAGGCCTTCACTGTATAACCCTTTCTCAAACCATCTTCATACAGAATTTTACTCCTGCCTCTACGCATGAGCAAGTACCCCATAACACACAATATCAGGACATGGAGAAAGAAGGATAAGGTGAATTTCACAGACACAGATAGAACTGCAAAAATCACCCTGCTCTTAACAGCAGCAGATCAATCCCAGGGTATAACCTCTTGCAGTGCAGAAGGCAAATGAGGAGTATTGTTGTGTCCCTGATCTGACTTACAGCAACTCTTAAGACAACTGAAATTGGGAAGTTTGAAAAAAGAAGATTCAAGTAACTCCATGTCTCATGTCCAGCTTCCCTGTCTAGTACTGACCCCTGTGGCATGACAGCAGTTTTGAGTATTTGGAAAGTATTCAGCATCAAAGAACACTCCAGAAAACAGAGTGAAGAAGTCTCTAATGTTCCACTGAAGAATACTGAAGTATCCCAGGATATCAGATACAAAAGGCCCAGTGATTTCCATTGCTAAGATGCAGCTCTCATCCCTCAGAAAGGAATGTTTACATGTTACAACACAGGAAAGTTGTAAGTAAGGTAACACACTGCTTGACACAAGACATTTGGCAAAGAGCAGAAAGCACTTCAAAGACTGCACTGGGTAAAAGATGCCACTTATTTTTCAACCAAGTCTTTAGAGAAGAGGGAACTGTCATCTGAAGGAGCACCAGATATGACAGATCCCTACAGAATATCCATCCCTCTGAGTGCCAGCTGGAGGCCAGAAAAGATACAGGAGGGCATCTGAAATGCCCTGTGTTCAGGAGTGCCTCAGGTGACTCACCGCTCCCCGAGAGACAGGGAAAGTCACCCTCTGACACCTGTCATGAGAATACATATTCTACTTGATAAGAACAAAATCCACAAGAAAGATGGAGCACAGCACCAGCTGTACTATAACCTCAAGTTCTGCCCTTATCTTCTGCCAGGGCTGTTCTGTTATACAACCCCGAAGTGACTCTCCAGTCGCCCCAGACAGTTCTGTAAGGATAGCACTACTGTTCAGATAACTAAGCAGTGTCAGAAAATAAAACAACTCCCATCATATTTGACCCAGAGACAAAAGCCCAAATTTATCTTTGATAGTGCTGCCACCAGCGTGACGAGACCACTACTGCTGCCTCCCACCTATGATCATATGAGGGTAAATCCTCAACTGCTCCAGCTTGCACCAAGACATACCATTGCTGAAAGCATCCATTTCCTCTCACTCGAGTTCCCATTTTACCTTTCTTACCTGGTGATCATTTATACCAAAGCCACAATTTTCATTTTCTTCCACACTACAGAGATTAGCTTGCAGGATTTTCATTAGAAGTTCCCCTAGAAATTACAGCCATTTTAGTTGCAAAGTTTAAATTTGGAAATTAAATCATGTACTGCCACGATTACAGTCTCGCACAGCTACAGAGATTTTATTAAGAGTTCAGAGAGTCAAAAGTAAGGCCAATTCACCTTAGTCAATATGGTGCTGCTTCCAGTTGCTGCCTATATAGAGCTAAAGGGACTGTGTTAATGCTGCATAGTAACCAGGCACAGTGAGGCACACACTCAGTTTTTTAACTGTAGGTGAAGTTAGGGTGCAAATAAATCAAGATATAAAGTGATTGGCTGCTCAGAATCCCAAATATATTTCTAGCATCAACTGTCTCAGGACGCACCACTTCTTTCAGCAAGGATATATTACAAGTCAAATCCCCTTATCTATAACAGAGTTGGAGCTTGCACTACTCAGCAGTGCTGCATTAAGGTGGACGAGAATAAGATTTTTCAGACTACGAAATGAAAGGCAGAAGGCAAAATAAACCAGCAAATCTAGCAAGGACAAGACTCCTCCGGGACTGGCAGGCTCTGATTTGCAGTATAACTGTAATCACCAGTCACGCTTCACAGTGTAAGACTTGGAATCAGACACCCTTGGGATACCATCAGTTCACACCTCATTTATTTTCCTGAATTTTACATCACCTCCCCTGCCCCCAACAGTGCAAGATTAACACCCATCAATGATGGTACTTATTATGTCCTCCCAATGTCCTCTGTTAGTTAATTATCTTACCAGGACCATCAGTGTCAAAGGGACCTATGGATTCACTTGGACCGAAGATGCTCTAGCACAGCAAAGAGGGAAGGCAAAAAGCACAGTAAACCCCACAGAGCAATAAGATATTTGTTTAAGATATTTGTTGCAACTATGCTACACCTTTTACACTTACTACTGCTAGAGTTTTGTCAGGCATCCTCACGAAGAGAAGGGAAATGTAAACACACCTATTTTCTCCATACTCTTCCACCTGCCTGTGTTCTAATCTGCTGTAATTCACCCCACATGGGGGCTTCATCCCACCCAACTTTACTTGATTCTGGTCAGATGTGTGGTCAAGCTGACAGACCAGAGCTTTCCTTAAGAGAGAGAAGAATCACACTTCTTATTAAGGAAAGCTACTTAATTCAGTCCTCTCTCCCCTGGATGTGAGATCACTTGATGTCATCAGTAATTACTGTTGTGTTCTTCTGGGAGGAAGGAGAACTGGAACTACAGTAGTCAAAAGTAAGGCACAGCAGTACAGCTGTCAGTTTATCCCATGATTTTTAGTTACACGTGCTAATTAGTTTTGGGGATCAATATCTGTACTGTCTTAAACCAAAGTTTACCTCCCCCAAAGAAGCTCATAAGAAAGCAGCACAGCTGTCCTCACTAGCAGTAGCCCCAGGAGTGTTGTATTCATCGTTTCTCCCAGAAAGTTCCTGTTTTTCAGATAAAAATAAAGCCCATTTCTCCCTGGGAAAGGTATCAGTGTGCTTCTCAAGTCTCCTCTGACCTGTCAATTCCCATCCTGCATTCCAGTCTGTGGGAGGTACTGGAAGTAAATCTCCATGTTCTGAAGGTAACCTTCACTGTCTCCCAACAACAGGAGCACAGAAAGCCTTGGAAATTGAACCATAAATGTATCATCTTATCAACATCTTTTCTGTTCATGTTGAAATATTCTGAAAAATATTTCAATTTGTGGTTGTGCATGATATTGTCTGCTATTTGCTGCAAAACCATCCCTTTTATTTTTCCACTTGTAATTGTCCAATGCTATTTCAAGAAGAAGAAAAAGAAGATAAATACAATGTGCAGTCTTACTGCACCTTTGTCTGTTCTTTACTACTTTGGAAATGGGATACGTAGAAGAGAAAAAAAAAACAAAACCAAAACACTCTTTCTGGGCATCAGGGAAGCCTTGGCCAAAGGTCCTTCACAGCAACAGGAATACAACATATTTCCCAAAAAATAAGAATTGAAAAAAAAAAAAAAAAAAGAAACGTAATTATTTCAACAGAAATTCTGCATGTTCTGTCACTTCCCTGTTTCTCCAGGGGCATTCTTTTTCCTCAGAAAAGGTTATGGAGGTCTGTCTCCAAGCTGAGAAACTTAAGCTGAATAAAGACTGATATTTCACTTGCCAGGCAGATTTCATTACTTAGAAAAGACAAAAAGAGACAGTATGGCAAGACCTCCCCGTCAGCACCACACAACGAACCGTTTGCCAAACACACATCGCAACTTTTAAGGAATACAAGCAGGAGAACGCGCTGGGTTTAACATAACGTGAGGGAGGGAAGGAGTGGGGATCCCTCACAGGGGGGGCGGGAATCAGAGGGGATCCCTCACAGACGGCGGGAAGGAGAAGGGGATCCCTCTCAGACGGCGGGAAGGAGAAGGGGATCCCTCTCAGACGGCGGGAAGGAGAAGGGGATCCCTCACAGACGGCGGGAAGGAGAAGGGGCTCACTCAGGGAAGGAGGGAAGGAGAAGTGGGTCCCTCACAGACAGCGGGAACGGCGGTCTCGGTGGTGGCGCTGCCACAAGCGCTGCCCCCTCATCGCCCGCCCCGCCGCCACCTCCCTGCAGCCCGGCCCGGCCCGGGACCGCCCGCCCCGGCCCCGGCACCCACCGCCGAGCCAGTTGGAGGAGATGTTCTGCAGCATGGTGAAGGGGACGCAGAAGAAGGCGATGAGGAGGTCGCTGAGCGCCAGGGAGCAGATGAAGATGTTGGTGACGGTCCTCATGGCTTTGCTGCGGGTCACCACGTAGAGCACCAGGCAGTTGCCGAAGAGCGCCAGGGCGAAGATGAGCACGCAGATGAGGACGAAGGCCACCTTGGTGCGTCCCGGCAGCTCCGGGATGTACACCAGCGGTTGCAGCCCGTAGAGGGTGATGAACTGCTCCCGCGTCACGTTGTTGTCCCGCAGGAGCTGCGCGAACTGCTCCGGGGTGATGTTCAGGGACCGCATCGCGCCCGCTCGGGGACCGACTCCCTCCCTCAGCCGCCTCAGCGCCGCCGCCCGCGCCTCGCCATCGCCGGACCGCCGCCCTCCGGCGCTCAGCCTGCCCGAACCCGGCGGTGTGCAGCGGAGGTAGGGGCGCGCAGAGCCGGGATCAGCCTGCGGGCGACGGGGCGGCGGCGGCACCGCCGCGGCCACAAACTTCGAGCGGCGCCGCCCGCGGCCAGGGCGGGAGGGAAGGGGGGCGGCAGCCAATCAGCGCCGAGCGCGCGCCTGCCCCGGCCCCGCCGCCGTGCAGCGGGGACGGGCGCGAGGCGGCTCCGCGCGTGAGGGAGCGCGCGGGGATCCCCTCACAGAGCTGGGACCCCCTCAAACTGTTCCCTCACGGGGCTGGGACCCCTCTCACAGGGCTGGGACCCCCTCAAACTGTTCCCTCACAGGGCTGGGACCCCCTCAAAATGTTCCCTTACGGGGATGAGACCCCTCTCACAGGGCGGGGACCCCCTCACAGGGCTGAGACCCCCTCACAGCGCAGCCCCTCATAGCTGTTCCCTCACAGGGCTGGGACCTCCTCCCAGAACTGCCCCTCACAGCTATTCCCTCACAGCGCAGCCCCTCACAGGGCGGGGATCCCCTCACATCGCTGCCCGTCACAGCACTGCCCCCTCGGCGCCGCTCCCCGCTGGCAGCTGTTCCCTCACAGCGCTGTCCCTCACAGGTGTCTCCCCATCGCAGGCTCGAAACGCCCGAGGCGGGAGCTAAAACTCCCGACCCGGCCTCTCGTCTCACGTTTTGATCAGGCTGAGAGGGAAATGAAGGAGGTTGTTCGGTAGGTACACGGCTCCCTGCGTGAGGGAGGGCTCATGCCACCCCCGCAGCAGGTCGCGCTGCGGCTGGTCCGTGCCCAGCCCAAAAGAGGCAGCGGGGGGGATTTTATCTGCCCTTCCAGCTCCCTTTGTGCCAAAGCCGCTGCAGGTCCTCGCACGATGACGAGCCCAAGCTCAAATAAAAAAGTAATTTTCCGGGCTTTGGCCGCTGAGCTCACTGAGATCACAGGAGAGTCCTGAAGATCCCTTTGCCAGCAGGATAACCACTCTTGCCAGAGGAGGTGGGACAGAACCCCACCCCACACAACCTGTCTGGGCTACTTAGGTAAGGTTATGTGGGCTACTGAGATGCACTCAGCAAACTGGCTGCAACAGGAGTCAAGATAATGCCCCTGCAGCTTAAATGTGGATAATAATGACAGTTAAGGTCTAACAGAGGGATCAAGATGAACACATGCATTAATTTGATCTGATTAAATTGCCCACTACGCTTTCTCACGCGGGTATATCCCCTTTGTACTGTATGATAATACATTTAATAGCAACAACTGATAACCGATGAGTCACATAGTGAATTATCAAAAAGAATCCAGAGAAGGCAATAATAACATGGAAAACTGTTCTGACAACACTTACCACCTCCCACAGAGGTACGTGTTTGATAAGGAAAAAACATCACCAGGGAAAATGCTGCAAAATTATATTTTGTACAGAAGGATGCTCCCTGCCCTAGGTATGTCTTGACCTGCACCAAGAAAATACAGAAAAGAATGAAAAGTCTAGCAAAAGCTGTCTATTTATAAGGTATTTACAAGGTTTCAAGGTTGCCGAGGAAAACTGGGGAGGTAAGAGTTCACCACCAAGTCATTCTCAGCAAAATGAACATGCCCAGCAAGACCAAAGCTATTTTGTGTCATCTCTGAAAAAAAATATTTCTGTTAAGTGGAAATCAAGGGAGAGAAATTCCAGTGCCTGCACTGGTATGTGTGTATTCCAACCTGCACAGATCAGTCCTCCAAGTGCTGACAATCCTCTTTTAAGGTATAGCTCCATGGCACAGATTCTCTTTATTAGCCCATGGTGAAAGAGCCCTGTCACCTTTCTTTGGTGCAGTACTGCCACGTGTTTTCCACTTGAGAACAATGTGATTGGGCTCCCTCTCTGACAGGCTTTTTAAGCTTGTTCTGGAAGGCAAGTGCTCATCAAACTGACTTAGTTCCTGACATTCAGACAGCCCCTTTCACATTCTCTTAGGTCTGCCTTGTTGGCTAGGAAAGCTTGGTCTTTTAGTCCTATAATGATCCTGCTGAGCCTATGTTCCATATCAAAGACAGACTTCTTTTGAGTTCCAATTTTGCCAGCATATTCCCTACATGGACTACAGCAGGTACAGCCTAAAGCCACCTTCGTGTGCTGTGTTCACACATCCTTTCCTATACCTCTTTTCCTTTTCCCTCTTCCCCCAAAACCTCGTTTAGCAGCTTTTCTATTAACAAACAAGCCAGATGCATTTCAGCAGATTTAATTTCTCTTATAAATAAAGGGCCAAACCTGAAGGCCAGTCTGCCATCCAGGACTGCAGCGTTGTGTTATTCATTGCAGAAAGCATCCAAGTGTTTCAGGAACAAATAAATGGGAATAAGCTCTCACCTAAATACTGCAAATAGTCTGGGCTTATGGATAACGTGCACATTTGTTTTTTCATATATCCTTATTTTATTACTATGGCTGTTCATTACAAGTCATCAAACAGCATTAAAAATGAACAACATCTGAACAGTTAATCTACAGAATATAAACAAATCCTGAGGCTGTAGGGCCATTACATCTGCTGCAGATTTAGCTGGGGTTTTGTGTGCAAAAAAAGATTTTCCCGTTAATATTTACCCACATGGAGAAGATAAAGGTAGGATTTACAGAAACTTCCATTTCCTATGAGCATTATCCATTCTCTTAGCTGAAACAATAAGAGCATGGACATGATAAAAGTTATAGGGCAAATCACTAGTAACTCTATTTCCCAGATCCTTGACCTGAATGAAATTGTATTTGCAGTAAAAAGGGTTGAGTTACAAAAGGTGACCTCATCTAAAACCTGCTGAAATTACTGAAATGACTCCTCTGCTTCCCTGGGCTACCAATAATTGGTAGGTAGTGAAAAGTGTTGTTTACTTTTCAGGGCAGCAACTTGTGTTCTGTCTTATCCTGCACCCCAGGGCTGCTCCTGCTGCTTCCTGCAGCCCACAAAGCAAGGCCACGTGGGGTTGTTCTGACATTCCCCACGCTCATTCAACTCATCAGTAAAACGACCTGCCTGTACATACCTTTATAGACAATAATAAATTACAAGGCATTTTTCTGTTCCTTTGATTATTATTTGTGAAACCGATGCATTCACAAATATAAAGCAGTTTGAAAAAACTCAGAGTATTCTAACAAGTAACTGACTATACAGAGACAATGCATTTTTCATTATTCTTAACTGAAAAAAAAATGAAGCCTCCTACTGATGAAGTGGCTAGAAATATTTTACCTCTGCATTAGAATCCCAGTGAAAAACCTTTACAGCTTGAACACAGATCAAGTCTTGGCTTTGCCAGTAACTCTACTTTGGCTTCAAAGAAATTGTATATTCCTTGGTCACAAACCTACAAATTGATAAACGTGAAAATAGGTGAAATACTTGTTGTACCAGATTGCACTCTGCCAAAACCACTCATTTCTTCATGCCACCATTGTTAATTTTTTTTGCCTAGATGAGTCATTTGTATGACACCTTCTTCTCATTCAAAAGGGACAGTGAGTTTTCTGCAGACTGAAAAATACTGTTAGTCAGTCTGTAACCTCTCTTACAAAGAGGAAAGAGGCTGTAATTGCACTGCTTCCCTTCTAGGAGCAAAAAGATCCATGTGTGCCAGCTGTGAAAAAAAGGCCAACAACAAGGAATGTGCACAGACAGTGTTGCATAGGGTTTGTCAACTGAGCATGAAGCTTGTAAAAACTGTGAACAGCACACATTTGGAACGCTGAGAAAGCAATAATCCCCAAACAGAAATTTTAAACCAAACTTTTTTTCCTTCCAAATCTCTACCGATATTGTCTGGTTCAGGCAAAAGAAATAGATAACAAAACTACTAACAAAAAATGCCTTTCCTCCTCCTCTTTCACTCCCTGGACATTTCAAAATACTTAGGAAAGGACAATCCAGATCCATGTCACCAGCTTTTAAACAGCCACTGCAGCTAATAGATATGTTGGGGACGAACTCACCTCTAATCCAGATCAGTACCACAGCTTTTAGGATCATTCTCCAAAGGAATGGAACACCTTACCATCATCATTAGGTAATTTTAGGTTAAGTCAGAAATAAAGTGGCTGTTAGAATTGCCAAGACAGCTTCTGAAACATAAATTTAGATAGAGCATTTGCTGTTTGTTGAGAACATATGTTTGGAGAGAGCACTGGAGCTAAATCTTCAATTTTAGATTTACATACTTTTATACATTCAGACAAACAAACCATAAATTTTCTTGGGAAAGGGGAAACTTGACACTAATCAGGCCAGAATCTTAGTTGGTAACTAAGGATACAGCTCAAACTTGGTATTATCAGTGTTTACCAATAATTATGAAAAAAAAGCATGGATATCTAAAACAGAGTTGCACACACTTGCAAAGTATGTTGGAGAGGCTGAGCAGAAAATAAATTATGTTAACATAGTGCACGGGCCAACTCCAAAATGTTTTGTCTCCTACCGTGTGACTCTGATGATAAACACTGCTGGCTGATCATCTTTATTCTGGGGAAGCCTTATGTCTCTACACCCCTAGATTTAGTGATCCCCACTGAGTTTTATAACCCAGCCACATCTGTCAGTGATATTAATGTACAGGGTGAGGGAGACAAACCTTCCATCCCCATACAGCTTGTCAGTCATATTTGAAACAGCAATTAAATGAGAATTACATGCAGGAACTACTCTTTGTTTCAGCCAGGAGAGCCCAACTTCACTAGTCCTGGATCTTTTAGACATTTTGACTCCTCCTGCCATTTGTCATCCAGGAATGTTCAGTGCAATTGTGGGATCAAAAGTAAGCTGCAGCAAGGAGAATGCTCAAAGAGAAGAATCTAAATTGACTTGTTTTTTCTATTTTCCTTCCTTTCCTCCCCTATTCTCACTTCTCTTCCAAATGAAGTAAAAAAGAAAATGGTCAGCAGCTCCACAACTTAAAAAAAATTACATATCATGTTTAACTTTTGGGGGTTTGTTTGTTTAGGGTTTTTTTAAGAGTGGGTTTAATTAAAATAATTGAGCAGTGATATGTATGCATGTGCAAGTAGCATTTCATACACATGCCAAAATACTAAGCCCTGTATTGATTAGGTTTTTAAGTTCCTTCCTTGTGCTTGAGCTGAGAAGCAGTTCATCTGTCCTCAATGCCCTAAATCTTTTCCCTTTCCAATTCCAATTGTTGTTCTCTTTTATTCACGTACACAGAAAAACCAGCTACTTTTTGCCACCAGTTATCAACTACCACAGTTTCCCCAGATGTGAAACTGAATTTCCTCATCTTCTGATTTAATATCAAGTCTAAACCCTGCTCCAGTCCCATTTGTCAAGAAACAGCTGAAAATCCCTCACCAAACAGCCACAAATCTCTTTGTGTTCTCAGAGCACTGGGAGGCAGTTGGTACAGCACCCTGGTGCCAACATCCTCACTCCCTGTAGCCCTCAGGTCGTTTGAATTTCTTTCACTGATTTCCCGATGGCTTCTATCCAAAAATCAGTGCTAAACCTCCTATAAACCTCATTTACACCTGCAGTGAAAGCTTTGCAGTAGCAAATGTCTTCTTTCATCTAAAATCTTTCAGCTGTCTGTCTAGCCCCAAATATATTAGAAAACTTGAATGCCTCTTGTTTGTTCTGTCATTTTAGGTCATCATTTTTGTACTAATTTTTAAGACTTTGGTTGACTGTCACACAAAGCCTTATCTAGTTGTAAAAGACCTATTACCTTGCATAGCTTTTAGCTATTGGCCTTCATTTTAACTTGCACCAGAATTAATTCTCCATCTAAGAGCAGACAGAAAAATTTCCACACTCCCACCCAAGAAATAAAATATCAAAGTAATTTCATTTCCTGATAGTCCAATTCTCCTTTTCTTTCTTTCTATTGGTACTAGTGTTCAGCTTTGTCATTTGCAAGACACTGGATTAAATGTCTGTGCTACAGTGTCTTCTCTCCTTTGCTTCTCAAGTAAAGAACAACTTATCACAAAACAACAGATTCAGTTCTAGATGCCAAGTTAAAACTGAGGGAATGTTTAGATCCAGGTCTTGCCATGGAAATGCATATGGTGTTACAGGGATTGACAAGGGAAGCTGCACCATTTTGGAAAAAAGCACTTCTAAGAATTGTCACTAGCATGTTAAATTTAAGTTACAGTCATAATTTGGTGTATTATTACTAAAATACTGTGATATGAAGATTATCACACTGAAATGCATTCAGTCATTTGAAATGTTTCTGTTTATAATCATTAATTTCATGTTGTCAAGTAGAGATTTAAGCTGATTTGACCTGTAATGACTATGTGACAAAATTTCAGTCTCTCATTTTCACATTTCCAATACACCTCAGGGAAAGTTCTTTCCCAAAGAATATAATGCTGCAGTCCTATATGTCAGGTATTCAGTTACGTGGATAACCCTAAATTGTTTCTGAGAGAGAAATTTCTATAAACTGTTAAAACTCTTAAAAATCATAGCTCCTCTTGGACAAATGCTACCAGTAACAGTTAAACAGAAGTTGCCATGTTCACTTCTATTAAGCATTTTTTTCTATACAAAACCAGTATTTGCAACCCTTTAAAAATCCTTTGACAAGTTGCAAAGGATTTACAAAGGAAAAAAAATTACCGCTTCAGCTGCAAAAGAGGGTTGGTGAGAAATGACTTGGGGGAAAAGGCTGATGAATGGAATAAGAAACCTTGGGAGAGAGAGACTGCAACAGAAATAACCAGGGAAGATGAACATAAAAGTATTAGCTAAATAATTCCCTTCCACAAAAGACCTTTCAGAGCAAATCCATAGATAGAGGGGGATGAAGGCTGCCCACAGGGAGATAAAATATTTCTTATCCTTTTTGATGAAATCAGACTCTCAGACGTTTTTCCATCTAAGAGTCTTTCTACTGTGATTAATCTGCACCTCCTCTGAGAAGGAAGTTAAAACAATCACACTTCTGTGGAAGATTTTCAAAAACCATCTGATGACTTAACAAATACCAGTCCCAGTGAAAGGCAGTTTTCACCACCACTTAGAAAAATCCCAGGAAATGGCTAATCTTGCCCTTTTGGATCTGGGAGTTTGCTGCTTCACCATGATTTGAGCAGCAGCTGGATTGATCCCTCTCAACTCCAGAAGGTTTTGCTACATCCAAGCATGTTCTGGCCTGATTGGCAGCAGTTTTCTAATTTACAGATAATCATAATTCTTCAGATAGGAGAAAAAATATCCAGTTCATGAAATACCCTGTGCACCACTCTACTTCACACAATCCACGCAGTATTCCAGGAGGGATAAATCCCAGGCCCTTTAATATGGCCCATCGTGGGCAATGTGGGGCTCATGAATGATAATCCTTGGCTATAAACTTGTGTGTCTTTTGTGTTCTTTAATACTGTTGTGACTGGTGACCCTGCTAAGTTGCTGTTGCACCATGATTTAGTTAAGGGTGATTATTTCCACATAACCTTTATTATTCTAAATTAGATCAGCTTGCTCTGAATAATTCCCTCCTTTCAATTAGAATGTTAAATCATTCTTCTTCCTTTTCAGTGTTTTGCATACCATCAGCTAGGAAGGGTGACATCATGTGCTAGCACACTTCTGTTTGCATTGATGTTACCACCTGCTGTCCCCAAAAATAAAATTTACAGAGGGAGATGTGTCTGCGAACACACAGATTTCAAGGTACAGGCAGATTCATCGTAATCCTGGCGAATAAATTGGTTTAGGACATTTAACTGAATGCATATTAAAAATGCCAGGATCAACAGGATACAGAAGCAATTGAATTTTGTGCTTTTAAGGGTTTGGGAGTTGTGTTCAACTTGGCTAAAGATGATGATGGTGATGATCACTCTGGGACTTCCAGTAAATGTATCTCCATGAATCAAGTGTCGTGGAACATCACAGAATGTCAACAGTAGGAATAGGTACGATTTGTCACACAGAGTCACAGCAGATGAATGAGATAGTCAGTGGGCTGACAAAAGCTTTGGCAAGAGCGAGACTGAGGAGAAAGAACAGGAGTGGGAAGAGATGGAATCTCAATCTCACTGTTTATTTGCCCCTTCAAGTACCACCTCAGCACTAGGTTATACCTTGCTTTTGAATAACAAGTTAAAAGTGAATCTAGTTCCAAAAGAATTAAAAATATTATTAAATTATTGAATAACCAAATGCCATGATCAACTAGAAAAAGAAATGTAGGATTTTCATTGTTAATAACAGAATCTCAGCGTTAGGCTGAAACAATAAAATGTTCCCATAGGTAGATGCAATCACCAGAGACCAGAATTTTGGACAATTTTATGCATTGGGGTGGTATTATAGCAATATAAAACAGGAATATAAAAGCTACAGGAAGCTTTTATAGTTACCTACACCGTCAATAAGACAAGTGTTATTTGCAGAAGCAGTAACTTCCTCAGTGTAATTCAAGGATAAAAGAGGTCAAGGAAGTGAGAAAAAGCATTAAATTGTGTAAGAAATTCTGGGAATCTTAAATTACCTGAAGTGCAATGGAACAATCTGGTCTTCAAAGAGTGTCAGCATCAATAGGCATTTTTGGCACCATTCATTTTTCCCATTACAGAAATGTATTCAGAGACACTGTGGTCTTTGTTTTGTAAGAATGTGAGTGGTTTACAAAGTGAACACCATGAAATAAATCTAAGGAGTTTTCTCCTGAATGTAACAGAGGTAAGAAAAATAGAGCCATGAATCAAACCTTTGCCACTTCATATTTTACAGCTACTGTTATACTGCTCACCATGAACTTCTAGGTCATTTTATGTGGAAAGAAAAATTCCAGAGATATTCAGCCTATGAAGGACTCAGTGGCAGAGAACTTTGCTCTTTTCCAAGGAGGGTTTTGACCATGGCTCCATGCATGGTTCCAGCCCTTTATTGGGTAAATGAACATTTTTTCAATCAAGCCTGAAGATCATCATCCTTCTCCAACTGAATTGGAAGAATCTGGTCACACCAATGCCTCAGCCTTTGCCAATGTGTTGAACACGAGGAGCACTTCTGATTCCTCTCAGTTTGAAACCAATCCAGCCAAACTGGAGAAGGCACAGAGAAGGATGATTAATGGTACAGAGTTTTTTCTCATGTGCAAAACCCCTCAGCTTAGGAATGAATGATACAGAGAATGAGAATAGAAGTCTAACAGAATAACACTGAGTGACAGAAGCTGGTGAAGTGAACATGGTTGTTTCTTAAAAAAAACCCACCAAGCAACCCACAAATTTGCCTGGTTATACTTTCTATTTTCAAGCTGACAATGGTGTAATTAAATACAGTAATCATCAAATCCTTGAGGCAATATTCCTTCTTGCTCCAGCTTTTCTAACTATACTCACAGTTCTGAGAGACAGTGTTTAGAGTTCTAGGTTACTGTTAAGTCCATTGCGTCAAAATATTAAATACCACAGCAACAAAAAATACAAATTTGACCCAGATCAGAAAATAGAGATGGTAAACATTATATCTTATCATTGACAACTGGTGGGACACGGAGGGGTGGAGGAACATGGGACAGAGGAGAGAGGGAGCAGGAAAGGGTCACTGCACATGGAAGCACCTTTCTCAGTTATCACTGATTTTATATGACACAGCTGAACTTTGCCTGTGTTTAGGATGAAAGTGTCATTTTCTGATTTCTCTGTCTTCCATATCCTCAAGTTAATGACAGCCAAGCTATTTCAGTGCACAGCTGAAAAAGAAAAAGATTTTTTAAGTTATTGCTTTTGAAAAAAAAAAATAACCGCAACTTAAATAGTTTTGCCTGAATACATTTTCTACCTAAAATTACATTTGGAATAATTACATTTTAAACATAACTAAGAACTTTTAGAATTTCTTATTAAGCCCCAGCATTGTAAAGAATGAAAACCACTGGATGAGGAGAGCCACCAGCTAAGGAATTGGTACTGAAGTTTTTTGATAGCTGTCAAAGTGAACTGCACTGAATTGATTCTGGAGACTTGACTTCTCTGCAAATCAGTTTACCATAGCAGTTATCATTCAGTGCAGGTCAGCTGTTCCCTGTAAACCAATTAAATATGAATGCTAAAGCCAAGTAAATTCAGTTATGAAAACATGGTTCTTTGCCCCTTGCTTTAAATCATACTCGTTTATACCAGTCCTCATTATTTATACTTATCTTTTTGCCTTTCCCAAAAGTATCATTGAGGACCTTTTCTTATCATTTCCGTGCAAAAACAAAAAATGTATTTTCCAAAAGATTTTATTATTTTTTTTCTCATTCAGAGGCAAAATAAGTACCATGGTAATCAGACACTTGGTATTTAACATTTGATAAAATTAGAGACCTTCAAAGAACCATCTGTCAGATTTTGAGATTCATTTGAGAGGGGCATATCCATCTTTCCTTAGCTTTATAAAACTCTGCTAACTCCAGAAATTACCCACGAACTCCTACAGAAGGGCACTACAGAGGTTATAAATAATATAATTTTTTTCTTGCCATCTCTAAAGATCTCACAGAGCCCTGGACTGGAACTCTTTTCCATTTTAATATGGTTCAGTGGAAACATTGTTAGAGACACAAGCTGAAAGCCCGAAACACCCCAGGCAACCAGGTATCTAAAAACCATTCCAGGAGAAATTGTTCCCTGTTTCACCTGCTCCTGCCCCACACCAGTTTCCCAGCTTAAACTACCTGCTGGTCTTCTCAAGTGTTCTTTGTGAGCCTGCAAAGAGCTCACGTTCTCTCTTAGCCGCTGTTTTTTTAGTATTTGCAGGAAAAACAGGTCTGAAGAGAACCTCACATGTGTCATTTGTCAGCTCTGCTGTGTTCTTATTTAAAGCGTGACTCATTTAGCTGAGGTACGCAGCATAAATAAACAGCCTGTCAGACAGCAGCGCTGCCCTGGCTGGGTATCCCTTTCTGCCCTTTCTTCCTGTCACTTAAATCCCAAAAGTTTTGCTCTCTTGTGACCACAGCGCAGCTCTCAACCCTCTGGGAATGAAAAAGCCCTCACCATTTCCCAGAACAGTAGTCCTTTGGGAATCTGGCATAAATAAGTAGCTGAAGAGCAATTACTACTCCACTGCCCTTTCCCAGACCTCCCTCAGGTTGTTCCCAGAGCGCAGGCTGAGCCTTCCCTGTCGCGGGGGGCTGGCACAGGGCAGGGGCCACGAGAGGAAAAGGTGCCTGAACCTTGAATGAGCTCCTAAGAGCTTTAATTACAAGATAATTAAAACTGTAATATTGTTATGATAGACCAGGCAAATACCTCTGAAAGACAGAGAGTCCTCAATGTCGTCACAGGCTGAGCATAGTAAAAACGTGTCAAAAACCTGCTCCAGTTAGTGGCATGTGGGAATTGCTTGATATCCTTTTTAGATAGATCCATTCCACACACTCCTTTTCCAAGTGCTGAATTTATATATATGCTTCAAAAAAATGGTAATATTTTATGCTTAAAAATGTTTTCAATGAATTCTTTTGGCTGGGCCTAAACTCAAAGTTGCAACAAGAGCTGTCGAGTTGTTCTCTCTGTTGTGAAACAAGATAATTGGCCCTTGAAAACAGGCCCATGTTGTACATCGAGCTAAAGGAAATTCCTTCCCACCATTCATCTGTTAGATCTTATTAAACTGCTTAGACTGGGACTACAGTAAATAGCTTTAAATTTTGAAGTCTATCACGTGGTAACCCCAAATACCCTCATTTACTGATAAAACTGAGTTTTGTGGCAATACAATTTTCATCATACCGAATAAATGCATACTTAGTAGCTTAACTCAAATTATATTTATGCATGATTCAAAAAAAAACCTCCACCAAACAAACCCTTGAAAATAAATTGTAGGAGGACAAAATGAGCTTTATTTTTTTTCTTGTACACCTGGCCTGCCCTGGGAAAATAATTCTCTAGATTTCTTTTAGCAAACCCATGTAACTATGTGCCAAACTGGGATTTCACTTGGTCAACCAAGATTATGTAACTGGGACTTTTCACTGATTTCTTCGTGCCAAAAAGTGCAGCCTAAAGAATAGAGCTTGTTTCAAGGAGCTGTAGTAGCAGCTTTTCCCTAAATTAGCAAAGTTAATTCAGTCATCTTGTTTGTTATCCCAGAATAATGATGCACAAGTTTCCAGTGCTTTTCAAAACTCTGTCTAAGTTACCATCCTGTAATTGGGGGATCTGGAGAGACAAGAAGCCTTGACAGGCACTCAAGCTTAAAAACAACCTCCCAGCATTTGCATTTCATGTGTCAGAAAGATTTGGCAATAACAGGCAATAATTGTTGGTACCAGGGGGACAACGGATACCATTTTCCCACCGAGATCCAGTAATGCAGCTGGAGGTGACCAATGGATAGATGGGCACTGCCAGGTCCCAACAGTGAGGATTCTTACAAAGCAGAAGGGATGGGGATGGCCAGGCTTTTTGATCATCTGTGGCTGGCAGTAAATTCCACAGGAATTCAGGGAGTCTGGCAATTACGATCAGCAATGCTTCAGTCACGCTGGGAAACGAGAAAAAAGGACAAGAGTTTCTGTGCATTTGTCAACCTCAACACTTGTATAGGTGAAGATGCCACTTCTAACAGGAAACTGGAAAAACTTGCTTTTTACGTGTAAAATCTTTTTATTCCTTTGATAACTTTCCTTTTAAACTTCAAATTATTATTTTAACTAAGAAAAGGCAGCTCAGAATAAATTTTAGAGCAGACATCTACACAACATTTGTCTCTAGAGATAATTACTCCCACTTTGCCACCAGCAGCAACTTAATGAAAACAGCAAGAGTTTGGCAATACCCCACAGGCATCACACAGGCACAGGAGATGTCACCAGTCCTGGGAGTCCCAGTAATAGTCAAATCCTTGAGGCAATATTCCCTCTTCCTCTAACTTTTCAAACTTTGGAAAACAGCTGACAAAAATAAATCAATAATAGTGATTTTTGCAGGCATTGCTCGGTTTGCTTTTAGTTGAAATTATTTCCCCAGAAAACAGCACTTGCTTGTATGATCCCAATAGCAACTGGCTGATAGAACTACTTCTAATTCCTATCCTGTTCTCCCCTGGAAGATTTCTTTTCCACAGTGCCCTCACATTTTTACGGGTGCATCTTATCTTAACTTGTTCCCCTTAAAACTGGTTATAGTCAAACATATATAATGTATGGCAACAGAAGAGATACAAGAGGCTGTGTTTAAATTATTAACCAGGGAAGGGCAGCCCTTGCTTTTGGTCTGCTTAATAACTCTGCTGCAAACAACAACCCTCTCAGCATCATGTTTGCATAACCACAGTCAGAGTTTCTAATTTACCCCCAGTTCACTGACTCAAATAAGTTCTGAACTATTAGGCTGGAGTTAAGTCATTTAGCTTTCAGATTTATCCCCAAAAGAAACACCTCTCTAGCAACACACTAATACCTGTATTGGCAAGCAGGGCTCTTCCTAGACCTGACATGGCACAGGACTTCCTATAAAGTCAGGTTTGCTTCTCAGAAGTGTTTCTCCAGAATGGCTCCAAGTAACTCCCTGTCTGACTCATGTCCTTCTGCAGCTCTGCACAGTGACAGGTTACAGAGCCCTCTCGAAGCTGTTGGTGAGATCACCCTGAGCTAACTCACGGTGGTATAGAGAGGCTGCTGAGCTCTGTTACCTGCCCTCTGGGACACCAGCTGGTGACAACTGTTCCCAGGTGGAATTGTGTCCATCCATGCTTGTGACAGCATTTATTTCCCATCCTGGACATGGACAGGGCACCGCTTGTGTTTTAATACTCCAGGTCAGTGAAGGTGGGAGAGAGGACAGCAGATCAAACACTGTTTGCTGCCACAGAACTGTGATAAACCGGGAACTGCCGACTTCTGGAGTGATTCTCACCTCTTCAGCAAGCTCATTGCTTTCAGGAAACACTCCTTTTCCCTGAAAAATGCTTTTCATTTAACACTAAGCTCCATTAATTTTGAACCAGGTGCCATCCTCCTTACTGCTGAGTTGAAGAACTGCTGCTTTTATTTCTGCCTGAGAATTTGTAGCTGCTGACAGATTCTTTTAATGGGAGTCTTCCTCAGATATTTCTCAAAATTTCAGCCACAAGAAGGCACAATCCTTTCTGATCTGTTACAAGAATATATTCCCATGACAATCTAGTGCCTCTTTCTTAAAATAAGAGACAAAGTAATAAGGCTATCCTGCCTTACAATTACAGCCACCTCTGCGTACTTGAAGTCACCCATAAAGCATTAAGAAATATTTTAAATTGCTGGAAAAACTCCTAGATTTTTGCAAAAAGTTTCTCGTTACTGAGCATTACTACAAAAGTCTGTCTCCAAACAACCCTGTGGCAGCAGCAGCTTTGTGCTGTCACCCACATTGAAACCAGCCTGTGTAACGGAGTGATTCCTCTCTGATAGGCACACCAAGGGATTATCTTGGCATTCGACAGCTGCTTAATCTGCAGGAGCAGGTGTTATTTTCTTCCATGAAGGATTGAGAAAAACTGATTGGCAGTAAACTGTGAAAACATTCCACCCTTTCAGTTCTTAGAGAAAAAAGCATCAATGCTTTTGCTTTGCCCTGTTTGATACAACCCAGGACTTCCTTGGCTCAGGGACTGCACAACAGCACCAGGATCCAGGCAGCAGCACTCCCTGGGGAAGACATTCCTTTTCCAGCTGAGAAAGCCTTCATTACCCAGATGTCACCTTCTCTTGAACCCATAGTGGCTTTTATAGACACGACTTAGAGGCATCTACCACAAATATCTGATACACAAAACACAAAATAAAAAGTCACGTGGATCTGGACATTTCTAAAATGCAATAATTCTGGGATTTAGCCCTTCCCTACTAATCACCTCAGTCCTTTGAGTGCATTTCTTCTTTAGACTTCAGTCCATCTTGTCTAATCAGTAAGGCAGGGATTCACCCTTACTCTTACTTCCAGCTACAAGTTTCCAAAAAACACAGTTCTTCCACACAGGTTATAACACATCCTGCTTTGTCTCTTGACAGCAATTGTGGGGAAAAAAATATTGGAGGAAGTCCAAGATTCCCTCAAAGACAGGCTCCTGTCTGGTCAGATACCACTTTAAAATTAGTTTCTAGGTGTTGAATGGCATTTTCATCCTCAGAAAAGACTCTTGAGGTCAAGTCCAACCACTAAACCAGCACCACCAAGCTCACCATTAAACCACGTCCCTAGGTGCCACATCTACCCATCCTCGAAATACCTCCAGGGATGCCACCACTTAGAGCTTAGAATTATATCTTATTGATTGGCTGTTCAATACAGCCCACCTGCTATTTAGGGTTCAGCATAAGGACACAAGCTGCCTTTGGAAAAAAGTTCATTGTTTCTGTGGTTTGGTTGTTTGGGTTTTTTTTTTTTAATTTTTTCTGCTCCATTTTTCTATTTCAGTTGTATCTTCTCACAAAATCAAAGGGAAAAGATTCAACTCTCCTTTAGTCTCCCTCTGACTCCCCTACACAAAGCCCAGAGAATTTAGTCTAAAGTGCAGCAGCTATCAGGAGGCATCTGTCTCCCAGATAGGGAACAAGATAGTTATTCCTGAGGTGGCAGTAGTAGCAAGGAAGTGACTGAGTGACATAAGCCCTGACAGTTCCAGCAGGAAAACTGCTCCCCAGGCTTCAGAGAAAAGTGGAGATCCGTCAGATCCCTGTGAGGCAAATTCACTTCCAACTCAAAGATGATGCTCGAAGCTGAGCAGATACATGGAAGCAAAAACGTCAGGCAAAGACTGGAAAAAGGATCCTCTGTGCCACCCCCACAGGAGTCTTGTGTCCCATCTCCAGCTAAGTTCAGCCCCAGTGTGCCAGAGGAAGGCAGGAAAATGGATTCTGTGCCACTCACAGCCGAGGAATGAAGCATTCCCAGCCATGACAGGAAAGCCATCACAGGGATTTGTCTTAATGCAGACCCACAGTGACTGAAGAGAAAAGCAGGCAGGGAAAGCAGCTCCAATTACCAGAGGTAATCACAATTTTAAATTGCTGAACATAAGAGCTTGACTCAAATCACAAATTCCAGTTCCCTTTTGCATCTGCACTCTATAGCAATTTTCTGTTTCCAATTTTCTCGGAAACCATTGGAATTTGCAAGTAAAATAGGAGCATAAACACTGTATTGAAACCAGTACTACTGTTCCCAAAATAAGAGAAGCTTTAAATACACCCGTGTTAAAGTAGCAGTCATGGAACTTGATACTTATTTACTGCGTGATCAGGTGATACTTTGTTTAAAAAGTGTGGGTTTTGTGCCAGTTCCCATTGAAATTAAACTAATATAGGATTTAATGTTTATCACTTTAACCAGCATTGCTTTATGACTCTTCTGCATCATTCCTCATGGGCGTCACAAGAATGCACTAGTCCCTCAAGGTATCATTTCCTGTTTCCCCAAACTAAGTTGCAACCACTTTGTTAATGGCTGAGCCCACCCGAAAGGAGGATTTGTCTCGTGCCCTGCCTGATCCAAGCGCAGTGCAGTTTCCTGGTGTTCCTCTGCACACCAGTTTACAAGTGTCACCCTGAGAGCTGCTGCCTCTTCCTGTGCCCTATCCAGGAGACATGATCCCCTAGCAACCTGCTCTTTAAATTTCCTTCCTTGCTCTTGCTTCTAAATGAGCACAGGCTCATTTAGTGTACTCACTCCCGGCCTTCAGCAGCTACAAGGTCACCCAAATTATCTTCTTTTCCTCTACTGAGGGCTGAGGAAATTCAGTTACCTCAGATTTGCCTTCAGCCATGAACACATGCAGTTACCACACTTCCTCTGCTCCCTCATTTATGGCCAGAGTACAAAGTCTTTGCCTTAAAGAAAACATCTCAGAGATGTAAAAAAATGGTTTATATATTTTTAAACTTTCAATACTTTAAAACAGAACCACTACCCATACTCCAGTTATAACCTATGTATAACTTATATACTCTGCTTGCATATAGACTAGGGATTCCACTGAAGTCTTGGGAAAACTAACAGAGAAACAACTGTCCAAATATGCATTATATTTCACTTGAAAGTACTTTTTTTCCTGTTTTTTACTAGAATGAATTTCCTCATATAATTATTTTCAAGAAAGTCAACGATGTTTCTTTCCTGCTGATGATCTTTATTTTTCTTTATAGCAAGAAAATGTTAAATATTCACACTTCTGTGATTCCAGAAACTGCTCTGTCTTTGCAGTCTGTGCAAAGAAACTCGCCCTCTACTCTTTTTAAAAGAATGTGCTGTTTGTAAAGCAGAACTAGTTCACAGGCCTCAAAAACCTTTCCACAGGTTGATAGATCGTGACAGTCACACCATGTGATGCCAATTAGTTGCTTGGCTTCAGCAAAGAGTACAACTACACGTATCACACCAGCTTCTGGCCAGACTGCTCCAAAAAGACTGAGTGCCCATTCCTGGACAGCTCTGGAAACTCAAGGCTTGGGTAAAATTCTTCCATTTTCATCTGCTGGACTACATCAGTGTTTTCAGTGGTGCTGG